GGTAGATCTCTTCTAGGCTTTTCAGATACAGGGTTTGTGTATATATATATATATGTGTGTGTAGTATATACATATAGCGAAGGTGCCATATAGCGGTATATGCATGGTACTTCAAAACAGCCCGTAAACTTAGAAGGTGCGCAGCAGGACCCCCCCTTCTAAATTTATCTACTGTTTTGAAGTGCCGAAAATGCTACCTTCTAAGTTCCGGGCCGTCGCTATAATCGAGTTGTTTTGGGACTTTGAAATCATTTTCCACACATCTGTGGCACCTTGAAAGCTTGGAGGCAATGGTTTGTCACTTCCCAGTGCTGGTACGTCCACCTCGATTGAATCTCCAACACTATTTCCAATGCCGACTTCATTTACTGTGCATCACTGAATTACGATTAGTAAAGCCGCCTTTGTGCACAACTTTCTAAAAAAAGAGCTGGCGAGTGTATTGATATAACACCACTAAGTAAAGAACTGGCTCCGTTGCGATGGTCCGTAGAACACGGTTGACCTCGTCACAACCTGGTCAGCCACTTTGATTAAAAAGGAACCTAGTTGCGATGGTCTCCAACCTAAGAACGATGACCTCCAACCTACTAGCGATGGCCTCCAACTTAGGACTAGGACATCCAACTGTGAACCCACAACTCGGCAAATATCAAGGGCCATCTGGCATTGAATACCCACGAAGCTGGTGATTTGAAAACTACAAAGTGCAAGAGCAATCCATGTGCTGAATTATTGCGAGTCAAAATGTCGCTCTTGGTTCTCAAGCCATCTGTTCGAAGGGTTTCCTCCGTCATTGGCCGCGCCACAGGTTCTGCAAATGTGTGAGCAGAAAGCATCGAAAGCGTCGCAAATACCTGACTTCGGCCATGAAAGGAAGTACGCACAGTGTGGCTCCTGGCTTCAGACCTTGTGCTTGAAGCACTTTCTCCTTCAAACAACGGGACTTGAGATGGCGTGGCACTTGTTACTAATAGCTTCTTGTTACTACTAGTAAGGCACTTGTTACTACTAGCGATGCACCTGTTACTAGTAGCTTCCTATGGGGAGCACTAAAATGTGCCGACCCCTTCCGACGGTCGGGGAGCGCGCCAGAGAATCATTTTGTCCAACGTGGTTGTCCAACGTTAGGCAGTGAGCGGGGGTCTTGGAGAGGACTTTCCGCGTGGAATTTCGTTGGTGGAACCCGGGGCTGAGAGCCGTTGTAGGGATGCAGGAGACAGGCGGACAGGTTGCAGGGGTGAGTCTAGGCATGCGCTGTGGCTTGCTAATTATTGTTCGCAGGGGCAAGCTTGACCACTGGGAATGCTGTGTTTGATTTGAAACCGACCACACGCTTTTGTTGAAAACACGATGGCACCTTCGTGGAGACAGGTGATCATGTTGAATGAACATATCACTGTTTGCAACATGCGCAAAACCGCGTAAATATCAACTAACATGTAAGAAAAAAAAGACATGGTTTGTGCATCCCACGGCATTGCTTGCCGAGGACCAAAAACATTGATATATACAGTGCTCTTGGATCCCTAATGCAAAGAAGATAGTAACTACCATGCTTTTTGGCTTGCCGATTGTCAAACATCGCAATATTCACAGGCTGAAAGGGATCATTGTCTTGGTGCCAAGCCTGCGGGTCTTTTTGGCACGCAGCAGCAGCAGCAGCAACGACAACAACAACCCTTATGGCATCGCCGGTGGGCGAAGCTCCACACTGGTGAATCATCCTTCGCTGAAAAGCATATTGAAAAGCACTGTGGGCCATTGATGTCCTCCATCTCTTTGTCTAGTCGCTGCTTTGCTTCTTCCTCATAAGTCCTCTCTCCAGGCATGCACATACGGCACGCATATCAAGAATTCAAGTCCATAGTCTCAAGAAAAGAAACCAACATTCCAAAAAGGCCGTGTAAGCACAAAGCTGAAAAGTCTCACGGCAAGTAGCATAACCAGCACCTGTTTTTTGGTGAAACAGAGTCTCAGTCGTGCCGGCTGTGCTCATTCCGTGGCCTCAAGACAAAGCCGTATTGACCAACCTGCTAACCTGTGGATAGCATGTTTCCGGGCGTTGAAGAGAACGTCAAGACTTGAATGAGAGTAGTCAAAGACTTCTCGGGCTCAAACCCATCCCAAAGCTCCAAGACTAGCGTATGACGTTCACCTTTGACAGCACTGACCTGAAGGTACAAGCATGGGAAGCCTTGACCTCAACACCATGTCCGAGACCATCAGCCTCTCATCGGATCCCATAGCTCTGGGAAGCTGACATTGTGTCGCTTCTCGGAGAGAAACAAGACCTCAACAAACCACAAAAACCAAGCTCCGAATCAAACTGTTAAAAGCCTGTAGGCCACTGTAGGCCTGTGCGACTAGCTCTCACTAGAACATTCCTATAGGAACAACACCAAGACGACACCAAGCTTTTTGTGAGTTCTCTATCAAGTCCCTTAGAGACATCGGCAACAAAGTGGCCTTGACCAGCTTTCGATTCTACGTGACTCGCGACGCGACTCGCGAAAGTCGCGCCGAACTCACCATCTGAGTGTCCGAGCTCCACCACCTCGTTGCATGAAGTGCTCTTTTTCGGTGCTGAAGACACCGCCTTGAAAGTCTTCCAGCCTGGACGGCCAAACGAAAGCTTCGCCCGGAGGCGAAAGCTTCGACCGTCTCGGCCGTCTGTCTGACGTTTTCGCCTTGAGAGAAGCACTGAAATGGTGACCAAAGAGCCATCATCCTGCCGCAAAGGCGCTATTAGGTTGGAGGCCATTGCTCTTAGGTGGAGGCCATCGTTCCGCTCGCTACCTCACTGCATCATTCAATTGATCAAGTAGCCCTGCCGCTCCCGATGCTCAGGGTCCATGACTGAACCACCATCACTGTAGGCATGATACCTTCAAATCATGACATCGTGACATCATGCGCCCTACACAGCTGGAGAATTCATGCTTTGCATGTGACCGTTCAACTGGGTCTGGAACTCCATGCTTCTTAGTTGAACAGAACGGCTTGAGAGGAGTCCCCAACCTCGGATGCTGTGAAGCCATGAGCATCATGAGCTCGGCTTCCATTCGTGACCACCTACGAAAGGTGTTCCACAGAACACAAAATTGAGAAATTGTGTTTAGAAAAATGTAATAAACAAATAAATATACATATATATATATAAGAAGCTGGCTGCCCAACCCCAAAATTCAGCTGCGCGACGCTGAGAATCCTCTGACCTGCAAGGATGGCTTCCCTTCAAGTATCAGTTCTGCTGCAAGGCTTCCAAGGTTAAGTTTTCAAAAAATATCTAAGAACCAAATGAATAGTGCGAGTGCTTCTTCAGGGAAGCATGAGCTGTCCTGCGTCCAGATGTATATAGTAGCTTACTTGCAGGTACTAGCTACTCCAAGCTTCTACTACAAGTAGCAGCTACCTCGGCCTACCCGGCCCCCTTAAAAGTAAAAACAAAAAACAACAACTGGCTGCGCAGTGCCTCATCAACGCCAGCACTTTGGCTTCCAGTTCTTCCAGGAAGCACCGGTCCTTCTGACCCAAACGGTTCCTCACCTGTGCAGAAGTCGACCGAACCGGCAGGAAATCTTGTGCAAATCAGCACGAACAAATTAGATGTACTAAAAAGCTTCTTGTTACTACAGGTGAAACGATTCCAGTGAAACGATTCCCAAGGAAGCTTCTAGATACTAGAAAGCTTCTTGTTACTAGTAGCGATGGCCTCCAACCTAATAGCGATGGCCTCCACCTAGTATCTTCTAGTTTACTTTTGTCTATTGCCCGCACGGCTCAAAATCAGGAACATAGTTGTTGGTCCCACTTGCTTCGCCCATTCTTGGGCGACAGCCAGCCTTGCTTAGTTTCGCTCATCTGAACCGAACAAAGGTCGTTCTGGGGCGAGAGGTTTGACCACCGGGGCTCTAGATGGCTTTATATAGTATGCTGTAGTATCCTATTATGTCCTGTGTTCCGCATAGCAGGCTGCGCAAACCAGGGTTGCGGCAAGGCTTCCCACCTTTCCAGAAGCTTTTGTTTCAGGGCAGGTGAAAACCTGGGCCACCTGATGAACGCCACCTTCACTTCCGGTGAAACACCATGGTCTTCAATTGTGTTTGTGGCAGGGTGCGGCGACGCATGCGGCATCCGCAATGGCCGTCCGGTTCTGGCGGCTTCATGAAGTTTCAAGGAGACTGAAACCCTCAATGCAGAAAGATAGGGCATGGCTTAAGGGCCCCCCCTGTGAAAGCCCCTAGGAAAATTGTTGATTTATTTTAACCCCCCTTGAGTTAGTTTCCAAATATTATTCTGGTAACTGGTTGAATTGCAAGAATATGTTGTTCAGCTTTCTCTACATTTTCATATAAAAAACGTATCAACACAGCGCTCACACAGCAAGAGCAATCTGACATCTACTGGCACCAAAAGCCTGCTCAAGAGCCACTGGGATCTTTTGGGAATGAAATACATATATCCCCAAACCCTACTAACCCCAAGCCTGTCAGCCCAACATACCACCACAGGGAAAAGTATTCCTGGGGGAATCTTAGTT